AAAAAAAAAAAAAAAAAAAAAAAGATAGCCAACGCACCTGACACTTCTTTGAGCCCTCTGCCGTTCTCAGAGGCTTACAAAGCTGCGCTTTCAATTCCCTTCCCATATCACCTCGCTCCCTTCCTGAGTTCTATTAAAGATCAAGTGCAGCTGACGTTATTTGAACACGTTTTGCGCCGCAGGTCTTCCTTCTTACGAGGCTCTGCTAAAATGGTAAGTGGTGTTCCTGTACCCCTTGCACAAGAAAGAAAAGGGAGGCCCACAAAGCTGGGAGTCCCCCAGGCCTCATCCCTTGCCCTTTGCCAATCCCTGTGCTCCTTCCCTGAGGGCTCCTTCCCTCGCCGGCTTCCAGGCTTCCTTGAACTCGTCCCTACCACGTCCCCCAGCCTCTATCCCTCGCCAGCCTCCACCTATTGCCTCTCTCTGCGCCCCGGGCTCCATCCCTCGCTCCTAGCTGGTCCCTGGGATCCATCCTCTCACCTCGCCGATCCCCAGGGTCCACCTCTCGCCGCTAGCCATCCTCCAGGCTCCACCCTTCGCTACCCGCCGCCCTCCGGGCTCCATCTCTCGCCCTGGCACACCTTCTTGAGCTTCTGCTGCTGTACGACGCGCGCCTTCTTGGGAGCGATAACACGACCTGGGGAAAGATGCACTCGCGTGAGGTCGGGAAACCCCGAGTCCACCTCGCCCCCAAGTTCCCGGACCACTCCTTACCGCCTTTCCTCGGGCCCCGATTCTTCTCAGACGCCGCCGCCGCTGCCGTCTTGCTCTTTGCTGGCTTGTGCGCCTGGAATTTGCGCTGTCCTTGCGCCATGTTCCGGCATGCAGCGGAAGAGGCGGGGCTGTGAGCGGTCGTAGCCGGAAGGCACAGGGCACTATGGGATACAGCGGGGCGGAAAAACGCAAGACCTCACGGGATACAATGTGGCACAGATTTAAAGAGACAGGACCCCACAAGGGTAAAGGATCACAGCCGGAGTTTTGCAGACAGTGTGAACAAAAGGTGACCATGATAAGCTAACGTTTATTGAGTGCTTTTGTATTTTAGAAAACTTACGTTTTATGCTCTTCACACATAAAAACTCAGACTAGGTTTAGCGGTGCAGCACTTACCTCTAGTGCAGAATTTAAGAAAGTCCGAAAACTTCTGTAATGATAATATTTCCAAGATTTAAAAAATATTTTCATATCCAAAACAATCAAATTGTCAAACTGCATCCTGCAGACCGGCAGCATAATTTTATAAATAAAGTTTCAGTGGAACCGGGGTGTTGCGGTCAGTAAGCTGAAGGCACAAGTGCAGTGTTCCAGCCTCTTTAAAATTTTGTTTTGGCCGGGCGCGGTGGCTAACGCTTGTAATCCCAGCACTTGGGAGGCTGAGGTGGCGGACCACTTGATATCAGGAGTTCGGGACCAGTCTGGCCAATACGGTGAAACCCTATCTCTACTAAAAATACCAAAGAGTTGGCCGGGCGCGGTGGCTCACACCTGTAATCCCAGCACTTTGGGAGGCCTAGGCAGGCGGATCACCTGAGGTCAGGGGTTCGAGACCAGCCTGGCTAACATCGTGAAACCCTGTCTGTACTAGAAATACAAAAATTAGCCGGGCATAGTGGCGGGCGCTGTAATCCCAGCTACTTGGGAGGCTGAAGCAGGAGAATCGTTTGAACCTGGGAGGCGGAGGTTGCAGAGAGCCGAAATCATGTCACTGCACTCCAGCCTGGGCGACACAGGGATACCCTGTTTCCAAAACAAATTTTTTTTTTTTTGAGACGGAGTCTCGCTTGGTCACCCAGGCTGGAGTACAGTGGCACCACCTTGGCTCACCGCAACCTCCGCCTTCCAGGTCAAGTGATTCTCCTGCCTCAGCTGAGTAGCTGGGGTTACAGGCATCTGCTACCACGCGCGGCTAATTTTGTATTTTTTACTAGAGATGGGGTTTCTCCATGTTGGTCAGGCCGGTCTCGAACTCCTGACCTCAGGTGATCCGCCCGGCTTAGCCTCCCAAAGTGCTGGGATTACAGGTGTAAGCCACCGCGCCTGGCTGGCTGCTGAGCTTTTTTACTGTCCCCTTAAAATCCTGCCCTGGCGGTGTCACCTTAGCTCCAGCCCTGACCTTAAGAGGGAGGTACAAGTGTTAGCCACACTTTATAAATGAGGAAACCAACAGAGAGGTGAAGTGAGTTGTCTAAGATCACACAGTGGAAAAAGTGGCAGAGTTAGGATTTGAACCTGGGTGGCCTTCCTCTAGATGCTGGGATGTAGATGGAAGGTCCTGTCTGATCTCTCTGCACTAGGAACAAGTGTGGTCAGGAGTGGGAAGGTCAGCTTTTGGGCAGCCATTCAAGACATTTATTAAAAATCCTAGAGAGGCAGGCTAGGGAGGGCTGAGTTGGTTACATCTGGGGTCCATCTGGGTCCCATCCCTGGAAGAGATGGTGGTGGTTAGGGCTGCCCGGAGCTCCTCAGGGGCAAAGACCCCCAGTTCTGTGATTATGCCGCCAGTGATGAGGTCGTGGGGGGTGACATCGAAGGCAGGATTCCAAACTCCAATTCCTGCAGGGGAGAGAGAGGAGGCAAGGAGGCAGGAATTTGCTTCTGTGAAAGTTCTCAGGTTGTGGTCATCTGTTTCTGCCACAGTGGTTCTTGGAACTGGGGACTCCTGGAGCACCTGGATTCTCACCCCTAACGTACATGCAGGCAGGGACACTGTACCCAATAGTGAGTTTAGAGTCCCAACTGCCCCTAGGTCCTATGCACATCTATCCCACTTATTATTGATTGATTCATTGATTTATCTGAGATGGAATCTCGCTCTGTCGCCCAGGCTGGAGTGCAGTGGTGTGATCTCGGTTCACTGCAATCTCTGCCTTCCCAGTTCAAGCAGTTCTCCTGCCTCAACCTCCCAAGCAGCTGGGATTACAGGTGTGCACCACCACACCTGGCTAATTTTTGTATTTTTAGTAGAGACAAGGTTTTACCATGTTGGCCACGATGGTCTTGATCTCTTGACCTTGTGATCCACCCACCTCGGCCTCCCAAAGTGCTGGGATTACAGGTGTGAGGCACCGTACCCAGCAGTGTGTCCCCTTTCTGAGGGGGCAGCTTACCGGGTGCCGCAATCCGGACCCCATTAACATCAGTCAGCTCCTGGCTTGGACGCTCTTCAATGATGATCTCCTTGCCAGTCTCCAGACGGAGGTCACAGGAAGAGCTGGGGGCAGCCACGTAGAAGGGAATGCCATGGTGCTTGGCGACAATGGCCAGCTGGTAGGTGCCCACCTTGTTGGCTGTGTCGCCGTTGGCAACCACGCGGTCAGCTCCCACGATCACAGCTGGGGAGGGGGCGCGTGAGAAGTTGGGGGTCATTACCTGGCCCCACGCCCCAGAGCCCCACTCCCAGGGCTTACCCCCTGCAGGGCTAACTGGCTGCTTACCTGACACACCCCTATGGGCCATGGTGGCAGCTACCATGCTGTCGGCAATGAGGGTGGCGGGGATCTGCTCATAGACCAGCTCGAAGGCCGTCAGTCGGGCTCCCTGGTTGTAGGGCCGGGTCTCGGTGCAGAAGGCGTGCTCCAGGCGGCCCAGGCTGTGCAGTGATCGGATCACACCTGCAGGGGTCCCGCCCACCAGGAGAAGGCCCCGGGGAGGGGCAAACAGATGGGGTGATCCATTGGTTAGGGGTGCAGGCTTCGAAGGTGGGCATGGATGGACCAAGGCTTACCGAGCACAGTCCCACCCCGAGGCCCTCGCAGCGTCAGCTACACTCTTCCCAATGCTCACATAGTTCCTTGTTTCACATCTGTTGAAAGGACACCTTCTCGGTGAAGCCTTCCCTGATCTCTCAATTTTGCATAGTAACCCCCACACTTCCAGTCTCCTAATCTGTCCTTTGCGTTGATCACCTTCTAACACCTCATGTGTACAGCCAGCCCCCCTTTTCTGTGGGTTCTCCATCCAGGGACGCAACCACGTGGGTTGAAAATCTTTGACAAGAATCACTGGAAACCGGGAAGCAGAGGCTGCCGTGGGCCGAGATGGTGCCGTGGCACTCTAGCCTGGATGACAGAGCAAGACTCTGTCTCCAAAATAAATTAATAAAAAAGCCATCCTCCCATCTCAGCCTCCTGAATAGCTGGGAGGTGCATACCACTACACCCAGCTAGTTTTAGTATTTTTTGTAGAGACAGGGTTTTGCCATGGTACCCAGGCTGGTTTCAAACCTCCGAGCTCAAGTGATCCGCCCGCCTCGGCCTCCCAAAGTGCTGGGATTACAGGCTTAAAAATAGAGACGGGGTCTTGCTATGTTGCCAAGGCTGGTCTAGAAGTTGTGAGTCCAAGCAGTCCTCCCAACCAGCATCTTGATTACAGGCCTGCATTGCACTGCACCTAGCCAATAACTACAATTTAGTTAGTATTTACATTGTACTCGCTATCATATGCAATCTAGAGATGATTTAAAATATGGAGGTGGGCTGGCGGCGGTGGCTTACACCTGTAATCCCAGCACTTTGGGAGGCTGAGGCTGGCGGATCACCTTAGGTCAGAAGTTCGAGACCACTCTGACCAACATGGTGAAACCCCATCTCTACTAAAAATATAAGAATTAGCTGGTTGTAGTGGCTCACACCTGTAATCCTAGCCACTCAGGAGGCTGAGGCACGAGAATCTCTTGAACCCGGGAGGCAGAGGTTGTAGTGAGTTGAGATCGTGCCACTGTACTCTAGCTTGGGCGACGTATATATAATATGTATGGGTGGGCCGGGCACGGTGGCTCATGCCTGTGATCCCAGCATTTTGGGAGGCCGAGGCGGGTGGATCACGAGGTCAAGAGATCGAGACCATCCTGGTCAACATGGTGAAACCCCGTCTCTACTAAAAATACAAAACATTAGCTGGGCATGGTGGCGCGTGCCTGTAATCCCAGTTACTTAGGAGGCTGAGGCAGGAGAATTGCCTGAACCCAGGAGGCGGAGGTTGCGGTGAGCCGAGATCGTGCCATTGCACTCCAGCCTGGGTAACAAGAGCGAAACTCCGTCTCAAAAAAAAAAAAAAAAAAAAAAGTATGGATGGATGTGCATAGGTTATTGCAAATGTGATGGCATTTTGTGTATCACCGACATGAGCATCTGTGGACTTCGGTATCTGTGGGAGGTCCTGGAACAAGTCCTCCATGGGCACTGAAGAATGACTATATTTACCTTGCCTGCTGACTGTTCCTTCTACTTCCCTGGGACCCCTGAGAGCAGAGGTTTTGTCTGTTTTGTTCACTGCTGCGTCCCCAGCAAATGGAAGTGTGTGGACCACCAGAGGTGCTTACTAAATGCTGGCTGAGTGAAAGAATGAAAGGCAGAGGTCTTGCCATCAAGGCCTCAGTTCCCAGGGATGAAGGTGGGACTCAGGCACGTAGGGAGGTTTCCTGGGGAATTTAGGGTCAAGTGGGATCTGCTGCCTTGACCCCCGAGAGCCCATTCACCCTGTCTCCTGGTCACAGCTACCTGATCTTTCTCTGGTCACTCCCTTCTCCGCAGTTCCTCTTGGGAGTCCACATCCTGGCCGGGCTTTAGGCATATGGCTCAGACAGGGCCCACTGAATGGCTGAGCTGGGATGGGCAGGTGGTCCTAGTGCCTAGTGGACCCCCTGAGATACAAGGAGAGTTTTCTAGTACGAGGGGCTCTTTTCCTCACGATTTGAGCCCTAACAGCTCCCTGCCAGCCCATGGAGCCTGGAGATGAAGGAGGGCAGAGCCAAAGAACAGAGATAGATAGATCCTGATGCTACTGGCTGAACCCCTTGATCTAGCCATACCTGTAGCCAACAGTATAACTTTTTCTGTACACTAATACCTTCACATTTTTTTGGTGGGTAAAGTGGTTTGGGTTTGGGGTTCTTTCTCCTGTATCCAAAAAAGGTCCTAGAAGGCCCTTCCCTACCCCCTGAGGCCCGCTCACCTAGGGCTGTGCCGTAGCCAGCAGTGGCCAGAGCACCGGTGTTACAGTGGGTCAGCACAGCCACCTTGCCACCGTTGGGGGCCACCCGGTCCAGGAGGTGGCGGGCTCCGAGGTCCCCGATGCTCTGGTTGTCTCTGAGGTCTTTCTCCAGCATGGCCTCGGCGCAATGGATCACTCTGGGAGGGACAAGGGGTTTTCAGCACCAACCACCAGGCCCTGGGACCCAGGCGACCCCCTCCTCTCTGCCCAGTGCTGCTGTCCTGGAGCCCTCCTGCTCAAAGCGTCTCATTGCTGTGGGGCCTGGACGCTTCCGCCATGGCCACCAAAGTGTCACTCCATTCATTCACGCAAACACATGTTTACTGAGCACTTTCAGTGTGACCCAGCAGTAAACAAGACAGAAATCTCTGCCGCTGTGGAGCTGATGCTGGGGTGATGAATAGATAATAAAACGAAGGAAAAGATGATGGAATCAGGCAATAGAGAGCAGTGGGTGAGCTGGATCATATACGACGGTGGAGGAGGGCGACAGTACTATGGATGCCTGGCCTGCACCAATGGCACGTGCAAAGGCCGTAAGGCAGGGTCGAGCTTGGTGGGGTACAGTGACATTGCTAGAAGGGGCTGGAGCAAAAGGGAAGTAAGGGGAATAAAGAGGGCAGGAACGGGACCAGGACAGGAAACAAAATTCCTCAAAAGCAAAAACCCGGCTGGGCACGGTGGCCCACGCCTGTAGTCCCAGCACTCTGGGAGGCCTAGGCAGGCAGATCACGAGGTCAGGAGTTCGAGACCAGCCTGGTCAACATAGTGAAATCCCGTCTCTACTACAATACAAAAATTAGCCAGGCCTGGTGGCGCAGGCCTGTAATTCCAGCTACTTGGGAGGCTGAGGCAGGAGAATGGCTTGAACCTGGGAGGCGGAGGTTGCAGTGAGCTGAGATCGCGCCACTGCACTCCAGCCTGGGCGACAGAGCAAGACTCCATCTCAAAACAAAAAAAGAAAAAAAAAAAGAGAACAAAGTGATGCCAAAAAGGGCCTCCAGGGGTGGACAAGGAGCCGGGTGTATTCAGGGGAGGCACGATTAAGGAGTTGGGTTTTGGGGCCAGGCTGCCCAGGTTAGACTCCTGGCCCATCTGTGGGGCCCTGGACAAGGGACTTAAGGTCACCGCCGTGCCTCAGTCTCCCCATCTGTATAATGGGTCAGTATACTTAAAAAGAGTCAATATAATTCCTGTTCAGAGCAGTGCCTGGTACCAGATCCCGGTACCTCTCCCGGACTGCCTCCTCCGTAGCGCCCTCCCGCTCGGCCTCCCGGGCTGCAGCATCAGCCAGGTCGCGGGCGGCGCGGGCCATGTTGACAGCGGTGGGCCGGGCGGTGACGAGGAAGCTCAGCTTGTCGCGCACGAAGGCCACCAGCGCGGCGAGTCCGGGTCCCCCGGCGCCCGTCTGCAGCTCCACGGCGAGGCTGAGGCAGCCCACTAGGGCGATGGCTGGGGCGCCCCGCACCTGTGGGGGAGGGATCGGGGCGTCAGAGCCTGCAGGCGCGGGCGCACCCTCACCTCCAGCCCCGCCGCCCCGTTGCACCTTCATGGCACGGATGGCCTCCCAGGCTTGGCGCACCGAGCCCACCGCCTCGTAGTGGCTTTGCTGGGGCAGCAGCAGCTGGTCCAGGATCTGCAGGGAGCCCCGCGAGTAGCGGATCGCCTCCAGGGTCATGGTGCAGCGGCCAAACCCAGAGCAACTCCGGAGGCACTGCGGTCTGCGAGCACGTGAGGAGCGGGGCGGGCCGTGGGCGGAGCCTCCCCCGGAAGAGGCTCACGCGCATGCGCATCCAACCTGACCCCGCGGGTTCCCAGGACGCGCCGTCTATGTGGCGGAACTACTGCAGGTCTCCTGCCAAGCCCGGACGCAGTGAGCCGCTTCCTCGGAACCACACAAGTGGCACTATTTATGGGGCGCCCACTGGATACCAGGCCCTGTGTTTAGCAGCCTGCTATCTAGAGTTAGGGGTGTATTCCCAGTGGCAAGGTAACATCAAGTGTTCAAACGATAGAATTTGTTAAATGATCTTCCTTCTCCAAGGTTCAGAGGGAGGTATTGGGGGGTCGTGCACTCCTTGAAGGATGCGTGGCTGTTTCAGGGCCACTTTCTGCTTGGTTTCATTCAAAAGTTAACATGCAGGCCGGGCGCTGTGGCTCACGCCTGGAGTCCCAGCACTTTGGGAGGCCGAGGTGGGTGGATCACTTGAGGTCAGGTGTTCGAGACTAGCCTGACCAACACGGTGAAACCCTGTCTCTACTAAAAATACAAAAAATTAGCCGGGTATGGTGGCGCCTGCCTGGGAGTCCCAGCTACTCGGGAGGCTGAGGCAGAACAATCACTTGAACCCAGGAGGTGGAGGTTGCAGTGAGCCCAGATCACACAACTGCACTCCAGCCTGGGCGGCACAGCGAGACTCAGTCTCAAAAACAAAACAAAAACAAAACCCTAAAAGTAACATGCACAGAAGGCTTTTCCATGGGCTGGGGATAAAATACCTCACACCCGTGTGCTCCAGCCCCTGCTGCATCAGGCACAGATCTTGGGTACCCCGTGTGCCTCATTCCTGGCCTTGTGTGTGGTTTCTGTTGCCTGGCCCCCTTTTCACCCTTCACACTCGGTCCATGCTGCCTCCTCCAGGAAGTCTGCCCTGATTCCTGCCCAACCTGAACCACCACCTTGAGATTCTTGTCACTCTGGGTGGGGACCACATCCGTGGTCATAGCTATGACCCTATACCAGCATTTGCTGATGACAGGCCTGCCAAGCTTGGTCAAATGAAGGGGTTGGGGGGCAGCCGCAGGGACGGTCTAATAACCCAAGACAGGGAAAAAGAAACGGGGCTTTAATGTACGAAGTCCGACAAGGCACAAACATCCTCACCAGGACCAAATAAATAACAACTCCACGGTTGCAGGAAGGCGAGGTCTGGGGAGGGGGCGGCGTCTGAGCTCTCCCAGGGCCGGTGGGCAAGCAGGGGGCCTACAGTCTGTGAGGGGACTCCTGGGTGTGTCCCGGCCTCTGGAGCAGGTCCAGTCCCCACGATGGGGATGGCTCAGTCACTCTCGGAGTCGGAGTAGTCCGCCACGAGGGAGGAGCCGAGGCTGCAGGGGTGCCGCGTGTCTGGGGCGTCAGCTGTTTCTTGGGAGGAGCCTGCTGGGGACAGGGGCTTGTCCTGACGACTCCCTTCCTGCCCCTTCGGCCCGCTGCACTTGGGGGTCTCGGCTGTTTCCCGAGGACAGTCTTCGCGGGACACAGGCTTGTCCTGGGCAGTCTCCTCTGGTCCCCCCGGTTCTCCACACGTGGGGGTGTTGGCCGCATGCTGTGGGCTCTCCGGGACGTCCCGAGACCGCCGCCGCACGATGCCCAGGTCCCCCACGGTGATGGGGGAGGTGGCGAGTGCAGTTCTGCGGCTCTGCGCCAGCTTCTTCAGGACGCCGCTGACCTTGCTGCTGGAGCCGGATCCGGGGGTGGAGGGGAACCAGGAGCGGCTGATGATCTCGGTCCGCTTGAGCTTCTGCTTGTCCTCGTAGGCTGGAGGAAAAGAGAGGGCATTTCAGGGGCGGCAGGGGAGGAGGTCCAGAACTGCCCTCTGCTAGACCAGAGTCCACTCATGGCTGAGGAACTCCCCGTCTCCAGGCAGCTGCGAGCCTCCCTGCCCACTCTCCCCCCGGCTCCCCACGCACAGTCCAGGGTGTGGAACTTCAGCAGGGCCGCCAGCCTGCGGTCATCCTCCGTCTCCGGGACCAGCGGGATGGTCAGGCTCGCCTTGGTCTGCAGGGCCTGGTCTCTCTCCTCCTCCTCCTGGATGGCTTTTTTCTTTTCCTGTGTCGGGGCCACGAACACCGGAGACGGCAGGTGTGTCAGAGCCGGCTCCTCTGTGGGCTAGCGGGCACTGCTCCAGCTCTCAGCGTCTCCGTTTACTTTTCTTTTTTTTTTTTTTGGAGACAGAGTATTGCTCTGTTGCCCAGGCTGGAGTGCAGTAGCGTGATCTCAGTTCACTGCAACCTCCTCCTCCCCGGTTCAAATGATTCTCCTGCCTCAGCCTCCCGAGTAGCTGGGATTACAGGTATGCACCACCATACTTGGCTAATTTTTGTATTTTTAGTACAGACCGGGTTTCACCATGTTGGTCAGGCTGGTCTGGAACTCTTGACCTTGTGATCCACCCGCCTCAGCCTCCCAAAGTGCTGGGATTACAGGCGTGAGCCACCACACCCGGCCTTCAATTTACTTTTCTTTTTTGAGACAGGGTCTCATTCTGTCACCCAGGCTGGAGTGCACTGGCACAATCATGGCTCACTGCAGCTCCAACTCCTGGGCTCAAGTGATTCTCCCGTCTCAGCCTCCCAGGTATCCAGTACTACAGGTGTGCACCACTACGCCCAGCTAATTAAAACATTTATTTTTGTAGAGGCTGGGCGCGATGGCTCACACTTGTAATCCCAGCATTTTGGGAGGCCGAGGTGGGTGGATCCCTTGAGGCTAGGAGTTTGCGACCAGCCGGCCATCATGGCAAAACCCTGTCTCTATTAAAAATACAAAAATTATCTGGGCATGGAGGCATGCACCTGTGGTCCCAGCTAATCAGGAGGCTGAGGCAGGAGAATTGATTCAACCTAGGAGATGGAGGTTGCAGCGGGCTGAGATCGCGCCACTGCACTTAAGCCTGGGCGAAAGAGGGAGACTGTCTCAAAAAAATTAAAAAAAAGTTTTTTGGCCGGGCGCGGTGGCTCACGACTGTAATCCCAGCCAGCAATTTCGGAGGCCGAGGCGGGCGGATCACGAGGTCAAGAGATTGAGACCATCCTGGCCAACATGGTGAAACCCCGTCTCTACTAAAAATACAAGAATTAGCTGGGCGTGGTGGCACGCGCCTGTAGTCCCAGCCACTTGGGAGGCTGAGGCAGGAGAATTGCTTGAACCGGGGAGGCGGAGGTTGTAGTGAGCCAAGGTCTTGCCACTGCACTCCAGCCTGGCACCTGGCTATGGAGCAAGGCTCTGCCTCAAAACAAAACAAAACAAAAAAGTAAATAAAATTTTAAAAAATGTTTTTTTGTAGAGATGGGGTCTCACCATGTTGCTCAGGCTGGCCTCCAAAGCATGGCCTCAAACAGTCCTCCCACCTGAGCCTCCCGAAGCACTGGGATTACAGGTGTGCGCCACCACATGCGACCTCATTCCACAGATACTTCTGGGACACCCACCTTGTGCTAGGCTTTGTTCTAGACACTGGGGACACAGTGGCAGGCAGAGAATAACACTTGTCCGGGTGGAGCTGACTGTCTAGTGGTGAGACAGTGATAAGGAAAAAAAAAAAGCAGGACGTTCGGGTAGGGGGTGGGCTGGGAGTTTCCATTTAAAATGTGGTGGCCAGGTCAGGTGCACTGACTCACACCTGTAATCCCCGCGCTTGGGGATGCCAAGGTGGGTGGGTCATATGAGGCCAGGAGACTAGCCTGGCCAACATGGTGAAAACCCGTCTCTACTGAAAATACTCTGGAGGATGAGGCAGGAGGATCACTTGAACCAGGAAGCGGAGGTTGCAGTGAGCCAAGATGGCACCAGTGCATTCTAGCCTGGTGACAGAGTGAGACACCCACTGTCTCAAAAAAAAAAAAAAAGTTAAATTTCTATTTTTTATTTTTAAATTTTGAGATGTGGGGGTGGGTGGGGGTCTCACTATGTTGCTCAGGCTGGTCTTGAACTCCTGGTGTCAGGTGATCCTCCCAACGTGCTGGATTGTAAGTGTGAGTCACTATGCCCAGCCAAATTTCTACTATTTATAAATTACCCAGTCTGTGTTTTTTTTTTTTTTATTATAGCAGCTGGAATGGATTAAGACAGGGCATGATCACCATGTAGCAGATGGGGAAACTGAGGCTCAGAAGATACAGTGGTCTGCTCATAGCTAGGATGCCGTGGGGAGGGCTGGCCCGGGCCTGAGCCCACGGTGTGTCCCCCCGCCGACCTTGGGCTGGGGCCCCGCTCACCCGGAACCGTCTCCGCAGCATGCTGTTAAGGGCGAAGTCGTCCTTCCAGGCGCTCTGGGCCTCCTGGATGTGGCTCAGTGTGGGCAGCGCCTTCTTGAGCGTGCTCCGGTCGGCCTCCCCGTGCTCCAGCCGGAACATGGCGTCCGTCTCCAGCTTCTGCTTCTTCTCATGCTCTGCAACGACCAGAGCTCGGCTGGGCCTTGGGGCCCCGGCGCAGACTCAGGGCCGGGGCCCCCAGGCAGGTAAGTGGGTGGCGCTCACCTGTGGTCAGCACCTGCTCGTTGTCCGCCATATCCCAGCGCTCCTCCTTGCGCTGGGCGCCACTCACGATCACATAGTCGCAGTTGGCCGGGTCTGTCTGCATCTCGATGTAGTTGACACAGAGGTGGCATTTCATTCGGAACCTGAGGGAGCAGTGGGCAGAAGGCAGGAGGCTGAGGCTGTGTCCCAGGACAGCCCTGTCACCTCTCCCTGCTTCCTTCCACCCAGTGGACAAGATTCATTTAACAAGAATTCACTGAGCACCCACTATGTGCTGTGTAGAGCCATGGGCAAAAGGGGCACATCTGGGCACCCAGAATGGACCTTCTATCGGTGGAGCTGCGGTTGACTTATTCATTTGTTCATTCATCTGTTTCTTCATTCATTCATTCACTCATCCGTTTTATTTTTTGTTTCTGAGATAGAGTTTCACTCTTGTCGCCCAGGAGTGCAACAGAGCATTCCTGGCTCACCGCAGCCTCCACCTCCCGGGTTCAAGCGATTCTCCTGCCTCAGCCTCCCAAGTAGCTGGGATTACAGGCACTGCCACCATGCCGAGCTAATTTTTTTGTAATTTAAGTAGAGATGGGGTTTCACTGTGTTGACCAGGCTGGTCTTGAACTCCTGACCTCAGGTGATCCACCTGCCTTGGCCTCCCAAAGTGCTGGGATTACAGGCATGAGCCGCCGCATCCATTTTTTAAGTTCATTCAATCATTAGTTTATTTGTTCATTCATTAATGCATTCATTTGTTGGTTCACTGATTCATTTGTTAAATTAATTCATACATTCATTTGCTCATCCATCCATTTGTTCATCCATTCATTTGTCCATTAGTTCATTTATTCCACAGACCTGCCCAAGACAGGCTTCTCTGTGACAGGCTCAATGCCAGCTGCTGGGGACATTGCTGAGTAGTGGAGAAGCCAACCTGCTTGTAGACAGGCTGACGTCCCAGCAGGGGCCACCTTGACAGCAAGGGCACGGGCAACTGGTATTGAGTCTCACTTTAGAAAAGGTGTCTCTGAGCCGAGCACGATGGCTCACACCTGTAATCCCACCGCTTTGGGAGGCCAAGGCCAGCAGATCATCTGAGGTCAGGGGTTTGAGACCAGCCTGGCCAACATGGTGAAACCCCATCTCTACTAATACAAAAAATTAGCTGGGCGTGGTGGCACATGTCTGTAATCCCAGCTGCTTGGGAGGCTGAGGCAGGAGAATCGCTTGAATCTGGAAGGTGGAGGTTGCAGTGAGCCAAGATCAAGCCACTGCACTCCAGGCTGGGCGACATGAGCAAAAACTACATCTCAAAAAAAAAAAAAAGTTCACACCTGTAACTACAAAAAAAAAAAAAAAAAAAAAAAAGCCAGAAAAGGTGTCTCCGAGGGGTGGTGTTTGAGCAGAAACCCCAGGTGAGGGAGGAGCCTTGGAGCTACCTGGGGAAGAGCATTCCAGGTGGAAGCACAGAAGTGGGTGTGTCCATAGGGTGTGTGAGGGACAGCGAGGAGGCCAATTAATGAGGGGACAGTGGGAGGAGGTTACGGTGGAGAAGGATAGGCAGAGTGTGCAGGGCCTTGAGAGCCAGGCAGAGGACTTGGGCTTTTACCGAGGAAGGTGGGAGCCAAGGAGGGTTGGAGCTGGGGGCATGCCCTGATCGAGAAACCAGGGTGGTTTCCAGGAGAGTCCTGCAGGGAATGGATTCCCTCACACCCAGGCTCTTTTTAGCCCCCTCGCCCTGTGGCCACCCGACCTGCTCCCAAGATGCCACCAAGCCACCCTTACCTGTAGATGGGGGTTGTGTAGTAATTGCCCACCTTCTTCTTTTCCGCATTGTAGCGAACACCTGGAAGGGGGTTGGGTGGGGGTGGTTATTTCACTGCCATCTGAATTTTGCAGATGGGTAAACAGAGGCACAAGGAGGCTCACTGTCACTTGCTGAGGGTTCCCCAACTAGGAGGAGTCAGAGATGGGATTGAAAGCCCAAGCCTGGCTTCCACGGCCAGCCAGTCACTCGTGCGCCCGTCTTCTTCCTCATTCCTGATCAGGACCCTTCCACCCCCACCCCGGCGGCGCTTAGCAGTTTAGGGGTCTGATGTTTTCGGGAGTGAATGGACGGGGTGGGCGGAAGCTCACCCATGCCGATGTGGTTCTTACAGCCGTCGCACCAGATGTTATAGGGCATCTCAAATCTGCAACGACAGGCAGGATCTTACTTGCACTTGTCCGCCTGGACAGTCCCTGGGTCTCCACACCTGCGACTCCGGTTGCGGCTGTGATTCCAGGGGTGGGGCATTAGACTGCCCCTGCCTCATGGGAGTTGCTCTAGTCACATTACACAGGAAACGGATACGAGGAGGAGAGAGAATCACAGCCACTATAACTAAGTGGGAACCTCCCGCCCTGCTCTACAGCAGACTCACCAGGTCCAGGGACAGCTGCCCTTGGGTGCTGCTCCCAGCTTTTTTTTTTTTTTTGAGACAGAGTCTTCCTCTGTCACCCAGGCTAGAGTGTAATGGCCTGATCCTGGCTCACTGCAACCCCTGCCTCCAGGGTTCAAGCGATTCTCCTGCCTCAGCCTCCCAAGTAGCTGGGATTATAGGTATGTGCCACCACACCCGGCTGATTTTTTCTAGTTTTGGCAGAGACAGGGTTTCTCTGTGCTGGCCAGGCTGTTCTCCAACTCAGCCTCAAGTTATCCACCAGCCTCGGCCTCCCAGAGTGCTGAATTACAGGAATGAGCCATTGTGCTTGGCTGGTGCTGTTTTAACACCTCACACGTCAGTGAAACCAGCTTCTGAACAAAGGAGGAAGCAGTTTTCAGGGCGCTGTCACCAGGCAGTTGTGTCTGATTAGAGTTTAGAAAAGCTGTGTGTTATCGCTGTGTTTCTTTATCACAGTTGTATGTATGACATGGGATTCTAGCTTTCCATTTAACAGCAGTGAGATAGTTTTCCCTTTATTTATTTACTCTTAATTTTTTTTTTTTTTTTTGGCTAGGGTCTCACTCTGTTGACCAGGCTGGAGTGCAGTGGCACGATCACAGCTCACCACAGCCTCGACCTTCTGGGCTGAAGTGATCCTCTCCTGTGTTAGCCTCCCAAGGTGCTGGGATTACAGGTATGATTATTGGCTTTTTTGTTCTTTTTTTGAGACTGAATCTCACTCTGTTGCCCAGGCTGGAGTGCAGTGGCATGATCTCAGCTCACTGCAACCTCTGCCTCCCAAGTTCAACCTTGCCAGTAGCTGGGATTACAGGTGCAAGCCACCACGCCTTTGGTATATTTAGTAGAGATGGCGTTTCACCTTGTTGGCTAGGCTAGTCTCAAACTCCTGACCTCAGGTGACCCACCTGCCTTGGCCTCCCAAAGGGCTGGGATTACAGGAGTGAGCCACTGTGCTCAGCCACGATCACTGTCTTTATTGAGAGTCCTGTGGGATCAAGTCCAGACTGGCCTGCTACAGGAGGAGATACAACACGGAGCAGACCCCAGTTGCACAGGTCAAGGCCCCACGAGACCAGCCAGTCCCCAGCCAGCCAGCTCTGAAACACATGGGAACCCAGCCCAGATCTGCCCAGCCTAACCCAGCCAAGCCCTGCCCAGCCCTTCCAGCCCCAGCAGAGGTATTTTGCTGAGCTGCAGACATGTGAGCAATAACAAATGCTTGTTTTGTTACGTGGCAGTAACTGACTCATACAGTGACTTTCCACATTATGGAATGAAGACCCTGCGGCACCGGGCCAATGGGCACTGAATTCTCCTGGAGACTGAAGGAAGTGGGCAGGACAGTGGTGTCCTCAGGTGATGCCGGGCCTTACCGGATGATGAGGATGCCCTGTGACAGCTTCCGAGCCCGCTCCCGAAGCGGGTGGCTGTTGTGGTACCGGTTGAGAGAGCCATGCTGTGTGGAGAGGATGAGGGAGCGATTAGGGCTGCCGAGCTGGGGGGCTCATGCTTTTCTGCCACCCCCACTGCTTTGGGACAAGTGCCTCACAGGTGGGAGAGGCCTTGTTCTTAGGCCTTGCACAATGGTGTTCACAGCAATACGGGAGGCATCCAAGTCTTACCGGAACCCGTGCTTGGAACCAGGAATGTGCGTTTCAACAGTTCCCCTCCTATTTATTTATTTACAGGTGGAGCCTTGCTCTCGTACCCAGGCTGGAGTGCAGTGGTACGATCTCGGCTCACTGCAACCTCCACCTCCCAGGTTGAAGCGATTCTCCTGCCTCAGCCTCCCGAGTAGCTGGGACTATAGGTGCTTGCCACCATGCCTGGCTCATTTTTGTACTTTTAGTAGAGACAGGGTTTCACCATGTTGGCCAGGAGAGTCTTGATCTCCTGACCTCGTGATCTGCCTGCTTGGCTTCCCAAGGTGCTGGGATTACAGACGTGAGCCACTGTGCCCAGCCCCATTCCCATTTATGAACTGAAAGAGCCAGGGGACCCTTGGTGAGTGGCCTCATGTTTTGTCTTCCTGAGCCTCAGTTTCCCCTATCTGTCAACTATGTATAATGGTCATGATTACTTCCAGGTTTATGGGGAGGATGAAGTGAGGTGACACTGTGTATCACCTCATTTTTTTTTTTTTTTTGTGGCAGAGTCTGGCTCTGTAGCCCAGGCTGGGGTGCAGTGGCGTGATTATGGCTCACTGCAGTTTCCACCTCCTGGGCTCAAGCAGTCCTCCCACCTCAGCCTCTCGAGTAGCTAGGATTTATCCCTCAATGATTCTGTGAGGTCAGCTCCTTTTATTTTCCCCTTCTGACATATGCAGAGGCCAAAGTCCTATACTCAGGACTAGGCAGTGGGACACTCGGGCCCTGACTGAGCACCTACTGTGTGGGGACACAGCCATGAACAGCTCTGTCCTCATGGAGAGAATGTTCTAGTGGGGGAGATGGATAAGACACAAATAAATGAATAAGTGGGGGAGTTCTAAGGGCTGTGAGGTTATATAAAGTGCTCTGCCATGCCACAGAGAACGAGACAGTGGTCAGGGAGGACCTCTGTGAGGAAAGCCCTTAAGGAACTGAGGGTATGGTGAAATGGAGGAAGAGATTCCAGGCAGAGGGGACAACCAGGATGCCAGAGGTGCTGGAACTGCGGGAGCCAGGGGGTCTGACTCTTCATCCATGCACTCTGCCTTATCTTGGGCCCCCGCTGTAAACACACTATGCTCCTTGCTGGACATGGAGTGACAGGTCCCTGAGGAGAGCCCCAGTTACCACCCAGAAGTGAAGACAGTCCGAGCCTCATGGAACGAGCAGAGGACAAAAAGATCTTGGGGGCCGCCCATCCTTCCACAGCAGTGGCTCCAACCCCAAGAGGGGACGACGTGGGTCTTTCTGCTACTGTGGAGCCGGAGGAGGGAGCCTGCTCTTACCTTTTCAGGGTTGAAGTCCGGAGGATAGTACTTGTTGACTCCTTTCCTTTCACCCTGCAAAGCACAACAGAGACATGACTGAGAGAGAGGCTGATTTGGTTTGGCTGTGTCCCCACCCAAATCTCATTGGAAAAAATTTTTTTTGATTATTTATTTATTTTATTGAGATAGAGTCTTCCTTTGTTGCCCAGGCTGAGTGCAGTGGCGTGATCTCGGCTCACTGTGATCTCAGCTCACTGCAACCTCTGCCTCCTGGGTTCAAGCAATTCTCTTGCCTCAGCTTCCTGAGTAGCTGGGCTTACAGGTGCCTGCCACCACGCCCGGCTAATTTTATATTTTTAGTAGAGATGGGGTTTCACCATGTTGGCCAGGCTGGTCTTGAACTCCTGACCTCAGGCAGTCCACCTGCCTTGGACTCTCAAAGTGCTGGGACTACAGGCGTGAACCACCATGCCTGGTTTAAGACTTGTATTTTTTGTAGAGACACGGTTTTGCCATGTTGGCCAGGCTGGTCTCAAAACGCCTAATCTCAAATGATCCGCCTGCCTTGGCCTCCCCAACTGTGTGCCACTGCGCCTGGCCTCATAATGGTCTATTTTATGTTATATGAATTTTACCTTTTAAAAAAATGAAGGAAAGAAAGAGAAAGAAGGGGATGGGGAAGGGGAAATTTAGGCTGAGCACAGTGGATTACTTGAGGACAGGAGTTTGAGACCAGCCTTGCTAACATGAAACCACATCTCTACTAAAAATACAAAAATTAGTGGGATGTGCTTGCTTGAACTCAGGAGGTGGAGGTTGCAATGAGCCAAGATCGTGCCATTGCACTCCAGCCTGGGTGACAAAGTGAGACTGTCTCAGAAAAAAAAAAAAACCAAAAAAACCCCCAAAAAAACCCAAAAGAAACATTTAAAAAGTACCCCTGGGTGATGTTAGTGCACAGCAACATTTCAGACCCACTGCACCAAAAGAGGGTGACCCCGACATAGAAAGCATCATCTTAGAGCTGTGGGAGGGGAGGAGGGGCTGCTTCCAGGGTCCAACACAGACTGGGGGAGGAGCCCAGGGCACACAAGGCTGTCTACTCACCATCTTGGCAGCTGCCTACTGGTCCTCACCCACAGGGCGGACGATCAGAAATTGGCCTTGTGAGCACACTGCCCTGTCCTGGCCTCCTGCGGAGCCTCGCAGAGGGTGCACTGGCTTCCTTGAAAAGATGTCGTGGGCCGTGTGGTGGAGCCGGCTCACACAAGACTCCCACCAGGTGTAGGAGGCATCCAAAAAGCAGCGTGTCTGTTCAGAAAGAGAAGAGTCCTGCCCACTCAACAGCCAGTGTACGCATCACATCTGACACTCTCATCTCTCTGTGGCCCCGACCGGTCCAGCACCCATCATCACTCATGTGCGCCAGCGCTGTCTTCTTGTCTCCTGCCCTGCCCCTGATGCTTGCTCACCCTACAACGGCCCGGGGGATCTTTTAAAATATGGACAGCCAGGCGCAGTGGCTCACGCCTGTAATCCCAGCACTGGGAGGCCGAGGCGGACGGATCATGAGGTCAAGAGATCGAGACCATCCTGGCCAAAATAGTGAAACCCGTCTCTATTAAAAATACAAAATTAGCTGGGCATGGTGGTGGGTGCCTGTAGTCCCAGCTACTCGGGAGGCTGAGGCAGGAGAATCGCTTGAACCCAGGAGGCGGAGGATGAAGTGAACCAAGATGGTGCCACTGCACCCTAGCCTGGGCTACAAAGTGAGACACCATCTCAAAACACACACAGACACAGACGCACACACTCATCTGACCACTCAATCCATAGTCACTAGTTTCCTAGAGTTTTTTTTTTTTTAAATTTTTTTTTTGAGAGGGAGTCTTACTCTGCTGTAGGCTGGAGTGCAATGGCGTGATCTCAGCTAACTGCCATCTTCGCCTCCTAGGTTCAGGTGATTCTCCTGGTTCAGCCTCCTGAGTAGCTGGGATTACGGTTGTCTGCCACTATGCCCAGCTAACTTTTGTATTTGTAGTAGAGATGGTGTTTCACCATGTTGCTCAGGCTGGTTTTGAACTCCTGACCTCATGCTCCGCCTGCCTCAGCCTCCCAAAGTGCTGGGATTACAGGCGTGAGCCACCGCACCTGGCCTGTTTCCTGGAGTTCTGATCACATCCCCTGTGTGTGTTCATGTCTCCCCGGCCAGGTTACACTGTGCCATATCCCCAACACCTAGGACAGTGCCAGGCCCAGATAAATGTCAACGGGGTGAGCGACTGAGAGAACTGATTGAGGCTCTATAAGGGTTACAGTCAGTGCAAGTGACACAGGTAACGACTGTGGGGGCTCCCCACGCTAGGGTGGTGAGATGCCCTCCCATGTTTTGGAAGGGAGCCTTTTAGGTCAAATAGAAGGAAGTTCAAGTTTACACTAAAGAGAGATGCTGTGAGGCAGTGAAGTGTATTCTAGAACAAAGATTGGCAAAGCTTCTCTGTCAAGGGGGAGACAGTAAATATTTCTGGCTTTTTAGGCCAGATTATCTCTGCTCCAACAACTCAACTCTGCCCTCATAGCTAGAAAGCAGCCCCAAACAACATATAAATGAATGTATGTAGCTGCATGCCAATATAAATTTTATTGACAGACACAGAAATTTGAACTTCACATACGTGTCACCTGTCACAAAGCATTATTCTTTTGATTTTTTTCCCCAACCACTAGAAAATGTAAAACCATTCTTAGGGGCTGGGCACAGTGGCTCACGCCTGTAATCCCAGCACTTTGGGAAGCGGAGGTGGGTGGATCACTTGAGGTCGGGAGTTCAAGACCAGCCCGGCTAACATGATGAAACCCCATCTCTACTAAAAGTACAAAACTTGGCTGGGCATGGTAGCACACACCTGTAATCCCTGTTACTCAGGAGGCTGAGGCAGGAGAATTGCTTGAACCTGGGAGGCAGAAATTGCAGTGGGCTGAGATCATGCCACTGTACTTCAGCCGACGAGAACCACAGAGCAAGACTCCGTCTCAAAAAAAAAAAAAAAAAAAAAAAAAAAAAA